AAAGTTCCCGGGAATGGGAGCCAAGAACCCAGCCCAGTTGGCGTGGCTGGAGGAAGGACCAGGAGGTGATATAGTGGGGAAGGTCCTATGGAGACAACTTTTTCCCAGAAGTATACCGCTTTTATTTTTATATTTATTTATTTATTTATTCATTTATTTGAGACAGAGTTTTGCTCTTATTGTCCACGCTGGAGTGCAGTGGCGCGATTTTGGCTCACTGTAACCTCCACCTCCCAAGTTCAAGTGATTCTCTCATCTCAGCTTCGCGAGTAGCTGGGATTACAGGTGCCCGCCACCACACCTGGCTAATTTTTTTTGTATTTTTAGTAGAGACGGGGTTTGGCCATGCTGGCCAGGCTGTTTTCGAACTCCTGACCTCAGGTGATCCTCCCGCCTCGGCCTCCCAAAGTGCTGGAATCACGGGCATGAGCCTCCGTGCCCGGCCGGTAATGTATTTTTCCTTCTAGTCACCCCAGAATGGTGGCGTTGGGGGCAGGTTCTGGGAAGAGTCTGCTTCCATTAGGGGGAAAGTGGAAAATGTCCCCAGGGGAGGGTGGCCCGCTCAAGGGCATCGATCCTGCCCTTGAACCGCATGATCCAGCCCCATCTGCTCTCTCCCCCTACCCTGAACGCCTCCTGTTTCCTGTCTGGGCCTCCCCGGGCGCCCGGGCCCAAGGTGACCGCCTTTCAACCGCAACCGCTAAGCTGCGCCTGGGGCGCGCTGTGTCTGTCTCTTCCTCCTCCCTCAATCCGGGAGTGCCCTTGGCCGCGGACACCTCCCGGATTTTTCCGGGAGGAGAGGGGAAGCCGCTTCTCGGCTTGGCGGGGGGCAGTTGCGCGCGGCTGGGAATCTCGCTGAGCCCAAGCACTGGTAGGGAGACCCCAGCGCGCAGTAAGGCGGCTCCTGGCGCCCCCTCCGGCCGGTGCTGTGCGCTGCAAGGCTGGATCGGAGGGAGGGCCCAGGGGTCTGAGGCTCGCTGCCTGCTGTCTGGCACCGACTGGGCGGGGCTGCCCGTGTCCCGAAAAGACGGCTTCGGGGGACACCTCACCAATGGGCTAGTGGTTTAGAACCCCAGTCCGACGCGCTACTGGGCCCAGTCTCCTGGACGATGACGGGGACATGGCTCTGAAAAAGTGCCAGGGTATGCTCAGTAGAACACAGCACCCAGAGCGGCCCCCCAGAGAGCGGGGCCGGGTCTAGGGAAACCCTCTTCCAAGAAGTCCTGTGCCCTGAGGTGACTGGGCGCGCTAGCTGATGAAACTGAGTGCCCCACCGAGGAGCCCCTGTCCCGAGGGCGGGGCCAGGGAGGGGCCGGAGTCCTCCTGGCAGGTGCCGGGGGCGGTGCCCGGCCCTGCCCCCGGGGGCCGTTCCCTGAGGCTAGAGGCAGGTCAGAGAAGCGGCCGGTGCGGGCGACGCCTTGGAACCCACGGGCGGCCACTGCCGTCACAGGTGCCTCATAGGGCCCTCTGTCCTCGCTCTGGGCATCAAAACCCCGGTTGGGAACTAAGGCTTCCGAGCTGCTTCAAACCCTGGACACCAAGGCCCTCACCGGCCGGAGAACGAAACCCTGAGGTCGTCTGAAGAGGGGGGCCACAAGCCCCCAGGGCCAGACGACGAAGCCCCAGAGCTGCTGCGGAGCTGAACACCGAGGTCCCCAAGCCCTCCACAAAGGACGTGGAGATCCTCGGGCAAGAGAGCGAAGTCCTCGAGCCATCAGTCGAGCAGAACGCAGAGCGCCCCGGGCTGTCCACAGCTGCGGGTTTTGAGAGTCCTGAGCCAGGCAGAGACGACCCTGGGCCGTCCGAAGCGCAAAGGGTGGAGGTCCAGGGGCACCGTCCCCCTCCAGGCCCTGAGACCTCCTCCTCCAGGTCAGGCTCGGAAGCCCCCCACCTGCGTTTTCCGCCGTGCCCCAAGGCTCCCCAGCGTCTCCCGGAGGAGCTGTTCATGGAGACGCCCATCGAGCGCGAAATCCGCCGCAGCTGCGAACGCGAGGAGAGCCTGCGCCGGAGCCGGGGCC